TAAATATTTTTAAGAAATTTTTCAATAGTTTAAGATATGATATATAGTATATTTAAAAATAAACTTAAAAAGTTATTTTTTTAAAAAAAAACCCCTTCATTAATAATTGTCAACGACTATATTTAATTTATTTTAAAATTTTACTTAGATTTCATCGATAGTATCCTTAATTAAGTATCACCTAAGGTACAAAATTTTGATTTAATATACTGTACGTATACAGTATATTATTTGGAAAAAATTATATTGTTGAATGAATTAATTTATTCAGCATATGATATTCAAACATTGACGCCTTATTTGGATATCCGATAGTTGCCTTTTTCAAGTAGACTAATTAGACCTGAGAAAATTAGATATTGTATCATTTGCAATCCATGAACGGACAACAATAAGTAGAATTACGTAAAATTGAATAAACTCCCACCATAGAAAGTATTAATATAGATATATTGAAGATTGCAATCTCAAAAGTCAGGGTTTGAAAGTTTCGGTATTTGAAACTTCCATTCAACGATGGAAAATAAAAACATTTCATGGGTTCTTCGCGATGGTGATATCCAAGCGACTGAAAGAATACGACGTTTGCCAAAGTTAAATGAAGTAGAAATTGCAATCAGAGCCACTGGAATTTGTGGTTCTGATGGTATTAAGACTCTCACGTTTATTCTTGCATTTCTCATTCCGAACGAAGGATTGATTCGGTTGGTTTTCTGTTTGTAATTAATTTTCAGTTCATTTTTGGCTTGAAGGCCGAATCGGCAAATTCGTTGTCAAGGAGCCACTGGTCCTTGGTCACGAGTCTTGCGGAATTGTAACAAATGTCGGTGAAAATTGCGCGACGTTAAAAGTTGGAGATCGAGTCGCAATCGAACCCGGAGTGCCTTGTTACATTTGCAATTATTGCAAGAGTGGAAAATACAATTTATGCAGAGATATGAAATTCGCGGCAACACCACCTTGTGATGGTATGTCTTGGGGCCGCGGTGGAGACTTTTCCCGGATTATCCCTTTTCTCTTTAACGATTATACTGATTCGCCTATATCTTTAAAAAGGTACCCTCTGTCAATATTATTATTGTCCCGAAGATTTTTGTGTTAAATTGCCGCCGAAATTCCCTTCGCTCGAACAGGGAGCATTAATTGAGCCACTGTCGGTTGGAATTCACGCGTGTACATTGGCGAACTTAAGAGCCGGTC